TTTCACACCGCCCCGCTGCCTTGCGAGTCAGGCTTTGGCTAATCGAAGGCTTCGGTTGTGGATTTCGTAAGAAAATTCACCTGCCTTGGCCTGGGCAACTTGTCAGTATTCAGCCTACAAGCCAATCACAGAACCTTTTTTTCTTTTTTATAAAGGTTTTTGTACCATGATTAGCCTGGTACACAGTCTGTCCTCAGACAAGTATGAAATATATAATAACCATCGGATTATAAGCCCTTCGGACAGGGTCAAACGTCCAAGGTGCCGAATGCACCTCAATGCCCAATCGAGCCGGTGACCACTGCCACAACCGAAAAGGTGTGGGTGTGGTTCGTATGCCTCCTCATTGTTGGTTTAAAATCAGGGGTTTTGGCCAACTCCCCTAGGTGAACTAATAGTGGTCCACCAACCCGGTTATAGCTCCGGATGTCGGCTTTCCGTCCTCTCACTTTGGTGGGAAACCACCTCCGTCACGAGAAGGCAGTGAGTAGGGCTTTCTCAGCAGAGGCTATTTGGGACGCTTGGTCGTATGGGAGTAGTTTGCGAGGTGCAAGTGCAGGGTGACCAACCACAACCCTAGACACCCACCCCCCACCATACTGAGGCTTTTGGATCCGATGGACCGGACACCGAGCCCCAATGGACTGCGGTTTTCACACACCAATGGCTCCGATTGGGGATTCTTCAAGATAATTCACCTGCCTTAGCCCGGGTAACCTGGCGGTATTCAGCCCACATGCGAATCACGGAATACTTTTCTTTTTATAAAGAATATTGTACCGCGATTTGTTTGGCATACATTCTGACCTCAGGCGAGTGTGCAATGTAATACAATATGATGTGTACTTGAACTTTTTTTTATCATTTTTTGTTTGCAACAAAACCTCTGTACACTCAAATTCCTTGCTAAGAATGTACAGGCAAACTCACCTGAATGTGCGTTTTGAAATATCCCTCTCATTTGAATGCTTCCCATACAGATTCTGTTCGGCCGCGTCGTCGACGTCTAGGACTGCGTCTCATCTCCAAACGTCAAAATTCAACGTCTCAGCTGGATTCCACTGCATCAACATCGACTGCGTCCGTGGTCAATCATGAACCTATTGGTTGCCCGAAAACCCCTCGATTTTCGAAAGATTCAGCAGCGTGCTGTGCATATCCGATCGCGATTTCCAGCACTGCTGAGAAGCATCCAGAAGCTGGGACGGAATTCGCGATCGCCACAAGTCCGAATGCGATTCAGGTAACTAGTCCGGGGACTCCTCCGGACCGCTTTTCACCATCATGGGTAAACACAGCGTGAATAGTTTATTTCCTTGCATTCCTAACACAAACTTGTGTTGTATCAAAGCATTATTGGGCTTTTTTCTTTCCTGCGGAAACCAGTGTCAAGCTACTTCGAAACTGGACGCCAAATCCCGAGAGAAAGTAGCCATCATCATCATCACACCCCGAGATCTTG